AATGAAAACAGTTCCGGTTTTGTACATGTGTTTAAGAGAATTGTCTGCATGGCTATGGCGTCACTTGTTTGACACATTGTCGTCAACTCAACTCTCTTAGAACGAGCCTCTCATCTGTTTTCCCTTTTGGAATATGATGTTTGGTTGGCAAAAGGGTGGCTTTGGAGGACACGTACATTTTAGCATTTTAAGAGCCGGTGGGAGTGTTCCACCGCTTCAAACATTCTTTAACTAACAAGGTTGTTTGGATGTCCAAGTGTCCAACTACCCCATATTCACCGTCCCAACTACTCAAGATTAATTTTCACCCAGCCTGCACGGACTTAGCTCACTGATTCAGTAGACCGTATTTAAAAAAATGAGATCAAGATTCAAACCTCAACACGTGCTTTTACAAAAATTGGTCTAGGCGCCCGCCTAGGTGGTGCGCTAGGCACCCCTAAACTATGGCGATTTCCCCCTATGCGCCCAACTAGTGCCTAACTCGGTCAACTTGGCCGCCTAGCCCCTAACTCGACCAAATTTGGCCGAGTTAACTTGTTCGATCGAGTTAGCAGAGTTAACCCGATCGGCTTGGCCTTACTAATATATATATATATATATATGTGTGTGTGTGTGTGTGTGTGAGAGAGAGAGAGAGAGAGAGAAACATATTGAGATATATACACCGACACATGTTCACTACTTTTTTTTTTTACTTAGCCGCATAGGTGCCTGCCTAAGCGCAGTTTAGGCCATCAAGGCGCTAGGCGCTACTCTATCGATTAACTAACGCCTAGAGTCTACTGCAACCATGAACCTCGACAATTTCATAGACAAGAATTCTTGATCCGACCAATCTTACAGATAAGGATTTTTTAAATGATTTTACACAAATTTTTGCCTATTATTTGTGGGCGGTTCATATTATGAACTTTGGACCCAAGAAGTAGGTGGTTTTATGACTTGGCCTGCAAACCTTCTTATTTCCCTTTCATACATCTTTTCATTGCAACTTAGGACGACCGTCATATATACCTCGTTTGATCTAATATACTTGTTGGAAAATCTCTCCCGTCCACACCAACTTGGTGGTCATATACCCAAAAGGTGTAGGGCAAGTGGGAGAGAAAAAAGAAGGTTAAGTGAAAGTATTGATTATTTGGCAATATGCATTAAAATAATACTTGTACTACCATGAGATGTGGTTAATTTTGACCCAAAATAATAATAATAAAAATAAATCCCTTTATCCTTGCCGTTGTTATTGACGATTTGGTTAAGTATGAAGTAGTTATAAGTGTACATTAAGCATTTCTGATCTTCAACTTTTTTTAATCAAGGAGGAATTAGTCATACACTTGACACATTATATTTATTGTCTGACTTTTTCAATTCATACTTGTTCAAATCGTGGACCCATAGAAGTTGCTACTCTTGTTTCTTATTTTCTTTTTCTTTTTTTTTTTTTTTTTTAAGTTAGGGAAGAAATTCTTACTATTTAAGAATGTGCAATGAGTAAATTTTGTTTCTATGCTTTAACTCACAAATTGCACAAAAGAAGTAAAGTACACTAGAAAAACTCTGTGTGATAGACTTAACCAAAAGGGTGCACTTGTGTTTTCATTTTCAAATTTCATGCAAAACAAATTTTGATGTAATATTCTTTTTAAAGGAAAAGATAAAAATAGAAATCTTGATGCATGTAATATTTAAATCCGTCGAGACACGTATCAACAAGGAGTAAGAAATGAATGTAAGTGTAATATTACTCAATTTCAATAGTGATCTCTCCATTATATTGCATATTTTCACTCTACTTTTTGTCCTTGATGAGTTCAAAATTGGCACAGTAGATTTAGTACTTGACTATTAATAATTTGTCACGTTTATTTCTAATACTTTCAATAGTCAAAAATCAAAACTCTTAACGGATTATCGGTAATGGTAGCAGTCCACATAAGAGATACTGGGCTGGCCCATCAACTCCCTTCTTGGATCGTCATGGTCTCAATCTCCTGCAGGATTGGGTCGCAATTAAGTGGCAAATATATAGTGCACCAAGCTTCTAAACGACGTCGTTTCGTTTAATGAAAAGAAACGACACCCGTTTTGCGTCATTCTGTGAAAAGTAACTTTGTTATTCAGTTTCATTTTATATACACTGCAGTTTCATTTCAACACAACTACAATATCATTTTGATATAACTACAGTTTCGCTAAGTAAGATACACTCAAATATGTGAAATTGTTATTCAATTTCATTTTGTATACACTGCAATTTCATTTCAACACAACTACATGATCATGTCATTTCAATTGCAGTTTCACTTGATAATATAAAAATAATACGTGATGCAGTGTCAGTTTAGATACACTGTAGTTTCAGTTTGTAATTAATACACCAAAAATGCGCGCTCCGTTAATTGTAACGGCACCGTTTAATTTCTTTACTAAAAGAAACGACGTAGTTTTTGGACCGCGGTGCACAAACACAGTATAATTGTTGTAATTAAGTTGCATTAAATACATATATAGTTATAGTGGTTTTTTTTTTGAATGCTACTAGCTCTATTACATTGTAGTATCTGTTCATATACTTTCTCAACCTACTGAAACACAAAGAGCCAATAACGCCTCCACTGAGGCTCGAAATCACAACCTTCCACTTGGAAGTCCACCCCGGATACCATTAGACCACATAGTCTTGGTGGATATAGTTATAGTGGTTTAATTTAGTTTAGAGGCAATATCTATCTGATGCATTAATGTAAAACCAAAAATATAGGCTTGCGGTTTTTAAGGTTTTTATCCAAAGGTAAAGCATGCTTTGATACCTTAATCAGCAAAGAAGATAATTCAATACTCAACCTCCAATGGAGACAGCAATAAATATAGCTCAACTGGTGGTAAATATAAAATTTGTCACAAGAAACAAAGGATTGAGTTTCACTAGCGGTAGTATGGGAGAGTCGGTGGTAAGATAGTTGAGCAAAAATGAAGGTGCTCTTTGTGCTGAATTGTGGGCAGTGAGCAAAAATCTAACTTCTATTGGTCAGTTGAGTAATATAATCATAATTTTTCTCTCTATAAATTGTCGGGTCAAAGTGTGGGGCGCCTGAAATTTGCGATTTCACCTTTTCTCAGCAATAAATATTGAAGGATGGAATTCAAAGTGTTATGTAATTTTGCTGCCAACCAAATAGTTATTATGCGGTCATGGTCAAGCAAGCTAGGCAGGAATATGACCATGAATCGGCCCCCTTCCCAATTACTATTCTTCACCTCATTTCACTGCCAAATTATTTGGCTACTAACTATGCTATTCAATGCACTGCATTATTATTACCAACTATCTAATTTTGAATTTCACTTTTGTGATTAAACAATAATGAAGTAATTGACCAAGTTGAGATTTTTTTCTTTTAATGGCGAATGCACAGTGAACTTTCAATAATATTCCTAAAAAATTGCTGTCTAAGTCATCGGAGGACTGAAAGGGAATTTTAATAGTCGAAGGATATAATTAGAGAAGTCAAAATGAGTAGGACGAAATTAGTAAAATCGACATAGTCGAGGGACCATTTTGATAATTTACTCTATGGTAATTGGTAAGATAACTCGATGATTGGAAGAGAATGAGACCCTATAATCTTAGTAAGGACATAAGCCACATAGTTTGTCGGAAAACATTATATTGTTGATCATTTGGCTTAAATGTGATGAAAAAAGTAAAATATATTTAATACAATAAAAATTAATAAAAATAAAACCCCTTAGTCTTAGCTTTGACGTAATTTATGCCTAGTGCAGACCTAATTTGCAAAGTGGTCCATCCCCAAGACCCCAACGGCCAACTTTGCAGCATTTTATGATTTGGACACCCTCATGTCAAATCAAAGTAAAATAATTGAGTTCAGATCACATTTTCAAAAAAAAAAAAAAAAAAATTGAGTTCAGATCACAGTTTAACTTATCATTCACTTCAAAATAATTTTAGAAGTATTGCTTTGCTAGTGATCGCAGTAGTCCGCAGAGAATAAAGTACAAATTTTATCAATGACTAAAAAAGAATATATGAATTTGTCTTTATTGTGTCACTAGTGTATAAGTATTTAAGAATCTATAAGCCAGGTGAAGTATATCCCGATTTACTTCTTCTATACCAATATCAACTGCAGGAACAGAGAGCTAGGAATCCTGGACCATTCCAAGATCTAAGTATATAATACAACGTCCACCGCCGCCATGTTGGTTATTTCCGCCGCATGCACCACCGTACCCTCATCCGCCACCGCGAATTATCCGCCAAAACTCGATGGACCATGCAAGGAGTTGGTATGTCTATTGATTATACGGCGCAGAACGAATAATATATATGATTGCATGGCGGCTCTTATTGTATGATGATTTGGATACTCCACCTCACTTCCAACTAACCCAATCCTACTACAACTATCCCTGAAATAACTAAATAGGTAGCTTTAATTTAATAGCTTCTATGGCCCATTTTTCCTAATCCATTTGACTATTGCATTATTGATGACCATTTAATTTAATTAATATAAAAATAAAACTCCCCAAATAATTAAGCATTGTAAAGATCAGAATATAAGATCAATTACAACAGCATTGATAGATGTAAAGTAGTAAAATTTACCTCTTACGGTAGTAACATAATTTGGAAGGTAATATAAGACACTAGTATAATAAGCTTTTCGATCGTCTCTAACTCATTGAGGCATAAGACCCTTAAGGTGTGATAATATTGAGAATTTTTAAGTTCATGGCCGGGTCTTGTGTGATCAAAAATTCTGATTACTGAAAAAGTAGTTGAAAATTTAATCACAACCAGCCTACTAGACTAAAAACTCTAGATATATGGTCAAAAATCTAGGGGGTGCTCAATAATGGTAACTTGTGAGGTAAGGTTGTAGATAGTGTCCGGCATCATATCGAATCCTACCTATAAATCCACTCACTTTACATATATCACAGGAAAATTAAACAACCCAAGATACAGTCTAGGGAGGCATTTCCAGCAATGGCCATTGCTAGGTCTTGCCCTACTACTGATGAAAAGTACTATCTTTGCATGGTTTTATTATTATGCTTCATTTTCTTCATCTTAGGGGCTTCTTCTTCTTCTGCTAATACCCATCAAGTTGATGAGGGTCGACGAGCATTGTTTGTGTTCGGCGACTCTCTTGTGGACGCCGGCAATAACAACTATATTGGGTCGTGTGCCCGGGCAGACTCGCCGCCGTATGGCCTTGACTATCCAACTCACTCCCCCACCGGCCGTTTCTCCAACGGCTTCAACATCGCCGACATTCTCAGTTCAGTACAGATCACACTAACTTTCTTGCCTTCCTTGCATGCATGCTTATTATTATATTGTATGTTAGTTCATAAACAAAATGCCCATGCAACCTTAGTTTAACATGTATAGTTTACTAGCTAGCTAGTTCTTTTTTTTCTTTTTTTTTTTTTTAACTTTTGGTCCAAAGACGATTTGACGATTATTAATTTTTTTTTCACATTTAGTCTCATAATTTTTAAATCTTCTATCATATAGACTTAATTGTTAGTCACCAGTATGGAGACCAAATTTATGCAAGTAACTTATTTTGATGCCTTGAAGGGTAAAATTGTCATTTCTGTTACCTTCCCAAAAAGTTTACGAAAAAAGTAATTAAAATTGACAATTTTACCTTCTAAGATAAATCACAGGTGATCAGAAATTAGGACGGATGGACCAAATCAAATTTGGCAATAATGATTAATTAGATCGAAGGGACCAAATGATACCAGGATTTAAAAATTGTAACAAGTTATTTGGAATTTGCAGGCCAGCAGATAGGTGGTCGGGAGTCGCCATTGCCGTACTTGAGCCCGGAGATTAAGCAGCAAAGAGGAACGCTGCTTGCCGGTGCCAATTTTGCATCAGCAGGAGTCGGAATTCTTAACGATACCGGAACACAATTCGTACGTAATAGCAAATGAAAACCGATCTGTTGTCGCGTTTTGATGCATTATTTTTCATCGTTAATTGGTTTCTGTTGCTTCAACCAAGCTCTTAACAATGGCGAAGATAATTAATTTGCAGGAAAGAATAATCAGAATGCCGGAACAACTGCATTACTTCAGCGAATATCAACACCGTTTGCGTGCGCAGATCGGAGCCGACCGCGCCAGAGAGCTCGTGAACCAGGCTCTGGTTCTCGTCTCCGTGGGAGGCAATGATTTTGTGAACAACTATTATCTCACACCCAACTCCACCAGGTCTCAAGAGTTCGATCTCCCACATTATGTCTGCCATCTCATCTCAGAATACCAGAAAATTTTGATAGTAAGTTGTTTTTTTATGGACAGACATATGAGTTTATAAGACTATGAGTTAGACTAGTTAATTGGTTGAATTGAATGGTTGGGTTTGTAGAAGCTGTATAAGTTGGGAGCTCGGAGGGTGCTTGTGACGGGCACCGGACCGCTTGGGTGTGTCCCTGCAGAACTGGCACAGCGCAGCAAGAGAGGGGAGTGTGCATCTGAGCTGCAAAGGGCTGCATCCCTATTCAACCCACAGCTCATTGAGATGTTGCAGGGGCTTAACACAAGACTAGGCAGCCCAGTTTTCATTGCTGCAAATACACATCAAGTGCACATTGATTTCATCATCAATCCTCAGGCATTTGGTATGAAAACCTTCTACTTCATTTTTAGTAACCAGGAAAACCCGCAATCATTATACGATGGTGTACACTAAATGAACAGTCCCACTTTAGGACTCTAATTGACAAAGGACCTGTAAACCAGCCTAAATTGCCTATAGCTGACAGTTCAAATCAAGAAAGTCAATATGGCACTATGGCACTTTTGCTGACCTTAGTCAACAAAGGACCATAAGAAGGTAAATTAGCCTAGGTTGCCTATAGCTGACCAGCTCGGAATCAAACCTTCTATTTTGATTTGATCACATTTCATCTGCAAAAATTGTATGCATTACCTCTTACTGCAATGTTGCAGGATTTGTGACATCAAAAATTGCATGTTGTGGGCAAGGGCCATACAATGGCATTGGCCTCTGCACCTCGTTGTCCAATCTGTGCTCGAACAGAGATGAATATGCATTCTGGGATCCCTTCCACCCATCCGAGAAGGCGAACAGAATAATTGTTCAGCAGATCATGACTGGCTCAACAGAGTATATGATTCCCATGAATCTCAGCACCATTCTTGCCTTGGATTCTAAGGCCTAATCATGTCTTTGGATTTTCCATTTCATTTTATGTTGTTGGCAACAATATTGTTTGCCTGCTTAGAAGCATATTGTGTTTTCTCATGTTAGAACTAACAGCCACAAATGTAGCTAATCAATGAACTTTAGCATTTCAAAGAACATCATTATATTCTACAATTGAACAAACATTAGCCCAAACTGATGCCCTAGAGGTTTTTCTCTAGTTTTTGCACGAACCCAAACCGAATTCTTGGTTTAGCCTTCGAACCAAGTCCAGACATTATTCGGTTTGGTTACCTTGGAATGCCGGAGGGAATGGTTTCATACGGCAACCGAGTTGTGAGTTCTTCCATATGCATGACCACACAAACGAGTTTTCTTGGCGATCTTGTCGAAATGCAGCTTCTTCAACAGAAGAAAATACACGAGGAAGAAGCAGCAACCAACTACACACGACGAAATTGCAAGCCCGGAAGTGTTAGGCAGTACTGCGTATGTGCCAGTAACAAAGGCGATAACCATTGCTCCTATGGCAACTATGGTGAAGCAAAATGCCCAGGCGAGGCGGTTAAAGAGTTTAGTCTGGTCTGCATAAAGCGCGGTGATGAAGTACATGAAAACTGCGGAGGTTGATAGCACAAGGGACACCGTGTCTGATATGAAGAACGCTTTAAACGCCATCTTTTTCATTAGCACCGGGAGGCCTTCTTCCGGCCCGGAATTACCATTGAAACCGCCTGGCACGGTGAAACCGGCCGTGAAAGTTACTGTTGCAATAAGCGCAGCCACAATCAAATGCGTTTCGCATAGTTTCTTTAAATGTTCTTTCCTCATCTGTTCTTTGTCACCGTCGTCTTTGTTGATCACATTCCGTAGACCACGAGTGGCACCGAAAAGCTTCAGCTCTCTCTTAATAAGACTCTGCACCACATAAACCAACCGCTTGATCAAAACGAAAAAAATTGAATGCAATCCAACAGATCGATTTTTCATACAATTGAAGCATGTGCTCCAGCTCAACTAAAACCCTAAGCTGATAGTTGGATTGCACATTTATGTTTATATATATTATATGCTCAACACATACCTTCAAAGTTGTGAAGTGACGACTAGACGATGCAATATCCAGTGGGGTTAAATTTGCGGCATTATAAACACTTTTATCCACTCTGGGATTACAAATAAGATTCTGGATGTGCGAGCCATGCATGGCGAGCAGATGAAGAGGCGTGTTTCCTTCGACATCTTTCTCGTTAATGAGGCTGTTAAACAAAGGATTACTGAGCAGCACTTTTACCGCACTGGCTTGGTTACTCTCCACAGCGACGTGAAGAACATTTCTCCCGCTATAGTCAACCACCTCGTAGCAATCGGGGCATTGCAGAATCAGTTCCAACATCGTGTTCGTGTGCCCGTGACTCGCTGCAATATGAAGAGCGGTCTTCCCCTCTCTGTTCCTAATATACGCTATCGACGAATCATGCTCGAGCAACATCCTCGCAATCATGGCATGGTCGAAATGCGCTGCAAAGTGAAGGGGACTCCACCAATCTTCATCAACTAGCTTAGTTAGATGCGGTTGCAATTCCAGTATCTTTGCTGTCAAATCTGGTGGAAAAGAAAATGAAAATCCACATTAGTTTAAATGCGAGCCTCTAAGGGCCGAACCAGCACTGATACCATGTTATAATCTAAGATTGAGCTAATCTCCATCAATATGCACCCAGGCCAGATCAAACTAAAAGATTGAATACAATCAATTAGCTTGTCTAACCTATGGCCTTATAAACCCATACGTTTCTCTCTATTTTCCATAAATAGAACTGATTATAAGGAAATGAAAACCTGAGAAATCAAACTAGGGAAATTGAGATTACGCTGATTGTGGCAGATAACTGAAGCGTGGAGAGCCGTTCTATTCTTGGGACCACCATAAGCGGCTGAATCACAGGCGTGCAAAATCATGACAGCCAGATCGTCGTATCCTCTCTCAGCAGCCAAGTAAAGCGGAGCTTCTCTAGCCTTGTTGCCATAATAGGGGAAACCGGGATCCTCCTTAAGCAGGAACTCGACAACCTCAGTTTTGCGGTTTCTCACCGCCAAGTGCAAGGCAGTATCTCCTTGGCAATTCTCCTTCCTGATTATCCCCTCGGCTGCCCCAACGCTGCTCTCTATGTCCTTGCCAAATCTTCTCGCGCTCTCAATGATCACTCGAACTACAGAAGCGTGCCCTTCTCTCGATGCAATATGCAGACACGTCTCGCCTTTAGCGTTCACCTGCCACAGCAGCAAAGAGCACATCTTCAAGATCTCTTCCACGCACTGGCTCCTGCCAAACTGGGCTGCAACGTGTGCCACTGTGTTCATGTTCGGGGTGAATTTGAATGGGAGCAGATGAATATGTCGCCCGAGAATATCAACGTTCCCATCCTTGGCAGCATTGAACAAATGGCAATCCATCTAAGCACTCAAGAGCTTCAGTAACAGGAATTCATCTTTCTGCTAATCTGCTTCCAATAGCACTATAGAAGGAGACTTCTCAGTAGACCTGTTCAAAGTCGGATCAATTTTTCTTAAAGAATACTATCTTAAAAATATGATTTGGTGGATGATAGAACATGCTTGTACTATCATAATTTTGTGGTCCTCTGTCATGGGGTCAGTCAGGGGTCAATTCTTTAGCTTTAAAGTTTGGTCAATGCTGGCAAGCTCACTGCTCATACTCTATTCCTAATTTCCTATAGAAATTGGAAAAGGGTAAGCTTACTCCCAGAAAAATTTTAGCCACATGTGTGGAATTGCCCCGCCCCATACTCCGCTCCGAGCCTCCGACAAGATAGTGGAGGGATAAATCACGATGATTCAGAGGTCTATGAGGTCGATTAAGTGAGAGGACAAGTGCCTAGTGCCCACAAGGAGCTCACCACATTAGGTATAACTCCAATACTGCAACTCTCAGAGCTTGATCGTGTATCCTTGCCCACAATCTACTACCCAGAACCAAATGAGCTGCATGTGCGAGAATTTAGCCGTATGTCTAAATTTTATTGAAAAAATAAAATAAAATGAATAAAAATTGTGACCCACTTTTTTTTGCTAGCAATCACAACATATCACGTCAGTAAAAAGTGAAAGTCCCTATACTTTTTTCTGAACCTACTAATCATGTGATCCTTTTGAAGATAAATTATTTATTGATACTTGGTACCTAACTTCTGCAATATGAAGCCCAATAGCATCAATACCCATCCCTTAAAAAGTACAAGAAGAAAATAGAGAAACAGATAATAATAATAATAATAAACTGTATATAAGTTTTGCTAGAATGATTCAACAGCTTTCTTTTTATTATGGGAATGACAGTACAAATCTTAGCAAAAACTTTTACAGTTTCAACTTCAAATATTAAGTATCAACTGCAAATCAGAATACATAGGGAATCAAAGCCTTCACATTCTTGGGGAAGTTTTCAAATTTGGAAAGGTACCATTTCCTAGTGACGAAACTCCTACTCGTTAGATACACCGCTATACCCACAGCACAGCAATATGTAAAGAGCGTTTGGGAGATAAAAGAAATCCCAACAAAAGCAATGATCTCGAAAAGATAGTGAGGGCATACAACCAAACCAAAGAAACCGCCTTGCGGGATTTTGTAGCCCTTCTCGTTCTTGCCTCTCATCCTGGAAAGGAGGTAATGATGATAGAAGTTACCTGAGATTCCAACGAGGAATATCAGAAAACCTATATACTTGAGATCAATTGGCGGCTCGGGAAATCCTCGAGTTAGGGATTGGATATATATCACGCCTGCAGCGGCAAATAGATAGCTGGACGAAATAAGGAGGACGGAATCCAACATCATCCCGCCACTGTATTTGTGAATGAACAGAACCTGCAAATAGAACGAGCAAATTTCATGCATTATTTCCTTTATGAGCAGAGAAGAAACTAAAAGAAAACATAGAAAACTGACATATTTGGCTTATATCAGATATGCTCAGATGGAAAAATTTTGTCCTTAGACAAGTAGGGTATGCAGTTGGGCATAATCACAACCACCAATTAAGGTGCCATTTGCAGCCTAAGTGCCTAACATCTTGAGATTACTAACCTTCCATATTTAGTGAAGCTATTCTCAGAATAAATGTACTAATTGACAAGAGAAGCATTATTCCCCAATAAAAGCATTCATAATATTATTCAAAACATAGAAACCTAAGAACCCCAACCAACTTCGTCAGGCTGTTGATTTGGTAACCATACGATTTCAAGTATTGACCTTATTAATTTAAACCTGTCAGTATAGACAACCTAGGCTAATTTGCTGTCTTTTATTGGCTAAGATCACAAGGTTGGGTTTGTCCTGGGTTCCTCAGATAATGGCTGCAATTTCTCGTAACTAAAACAAAAAACATAGAAACCTAGAACTGGTAACAAGATTAAATTTTTCCTTTTTAGGGAAAAGGGTTGTCACCTCAAGTACCCTTTTGAGGAAATGGATGGTAACAGCCAATTTGACCATCAAGAACCTTGAATCTCCATCTGGGAAGATGAGAAAGGAAGCAAGACCAGCAAGGGAAGCAGGGGCATACAAAGTGAACATTCCCACGACGCTGGACACTTTGAACTGCGAGGCAGAATTGGGACTGGAATTCCAGAACTTGGAATATTTAAGGTGGTTTCCAAGCAATTCTGAGATGCCCAAGAATCCCAGAAACAGAAGGGTCAAACCAGACAAGAGTTTGAAATAAATGGAAGAAGGCTCTTCGTAAACAATCTTGTGAAGCTGAAAAATCTCCGCCATCTTCAGAACTCGCGATCCTTTCTGCTCTAATGGTGGCGCGACTGAATCTATATGTAAGGACTCTTGTTTAGGTTTGAAGGAAAGTCCAAGATCACTGGGGAATGTGGATGAATACCTTGATGAGGTCGTTGCTACGTCATAAACGTAAGCGTGTCGTTTAGGTGTCAACTACATTCCATTCAAACTTTGCGTCTGTACATATATTACCTCATACCAGCCTGCCCAATTTTTTTTTTTTATTTTTTGTTTTTTGTTTTTTGTTTTTGTTAGGAAAAAAAAAAAAAAAAAAACTGTTAGGACGCACTAGGCTAGCACTGTGTTGCCAATCACGCGTGTACTGTGCGAATTTCATTTAATTGAAGTGGGTCCCACTTTCTAATAAAACCCAAGGTGCTTGTAGAGTTGTAAGAGGTATTTTACTTTTTTCTCTCCTCACCTTCTCTCATCCAACTAAGCAAAATGTGCCTTAAAAACAGTGAAAATTTCACTAATGGGGTTGCTCTTATTGGATAAGTCTTGTTGAACTATGAAAGTCTTGGTCCAAGTGAGGGGTGGTAAAGGAAAGAGGTTGGTCCAAACCTTATTGGATTGGGATGACATGGAGGCAGACAGGCAAGTAGGCAGACAGGCAAGCAAGCAATGCAAGGAGACAAAGAAGGAGGGGTGCAAGGCAGGTGAAGAGGTAGTGCAAGGGGGAAGCAGCGATGCAAGGCAGAGGTGGGAGGGGGTGGGGAGCCGGGTGGCACGTTGGCTGCCCAAGGCCAGTCGTGCCACCCGGCGCCCCAGCAGCGCACCTGGCCATCCAGGGTGGCGGCTGGTCGTGCCGGCGCGGGTTGGGGGCGCGCCCCCGCCCAGGGTGGCGATAATCATGCCGCTAACCAGGCAGCCTGCTTGGGTGCACCCCACAGGTCTCTCCATGTTCCTCAGGCACGTGGCGCCTAGCGAGTGGTTGGGACAGTCGCACGATGGGAAGACGTGGGACGCGTGTTTGGTGGGAATTGACGCCATCCTGATGTCGTACACGTGCAAGGGGGGAATATAATAAACCTATGTGAAACCCCAGCAAGCTTCAAGGAAGGGAAGGGGGGAGGATCCGCTAGTAGTATAAGGGGGGGGGGGGGTATAACTATGTAAGGTATCCCTTAGCTCACCAAACACTTTTTGGTCCATTGGTCTAAGCATTCTCTTTCCTGCTGGCACACTCGGGTTTGAGTCTTGTTGGTAATGTATTTAGTTTTGTTTTATTTATTAGTCCTTTAGCTTTTATTATTTGGGTCGCCGTTTTGGTCCAATATCTCCGTACTATTTTAGGCATAGTGCCCCGAGTAATAATACTACTATTTTCCTATCCTGTTCTGTACCTTTATACCCGGTTTATGGTGGATCTAGTCCCGATAAAATCATCATTGGTATAACAACTGTTTTGTGAGTCGCTAAAATCGAAATCTAATAACAATTGTTTTGTGGGCCCGACAGGCAAAAAGCCCATTTTGATGGATCTAATAACAGTCCAAGATCACTATCAAAGTTTTACCGTACATTGAAATTTATGAAATTATATTTTATTCATCTATATTTTCTTAAAGGTAGGGAGTATAAGAATGAAGTAAAAGCTTATTAAATCATGATAGACAATAAAAATGAAGAGTTAAAAAAATATTGTCACAAGGTGAACGCTATGTATTGATTTTAAAAGTTAAAATACATTTTTTTTGGACTATTAATGAATAAGTCTTGAGTGAAACTGTCTTACGGTAAGACATTTTCAGACAACTTATCCTTAATGAATAGTAAGAGTTTGTGTCGTATTCGTTGATGGTGAAAATAAATTATTGTGTGTGCTTTTTATTGGAGTAATCTAGATTGGTTACGTCGAAGTATGATTTGCTTCAAGATTGTATTTCTAGTGTAGGTGCTTTAGATAATGCACATATCATTCAAAAGCCTGCAAGTATGGATTCTTCACTTTCAAGCACAATCTCATATCTTATGTCTTTGTCTCCACTAGGGGTGTGTGAAAATTTTTAGTTAATTATTTTATAACTGAAATATTTTAGATAGGGACTTGGCACTAATCATAGTTGTTGGTGAAAAAGTTAAAAGTCAAAATCTTTGATAGCTGCGATTTCTGAGATTATATCTCCCTATGGTAACCAATGAATTTTGTGCAGCTTCTTCTTCTGGCAACAAATAGTCAGGGTCCTGCAATTTATCAACTTCTTCTAACAACTCATTCTCAATCCATGAACCCCACTCTTCCACTTCACTCTCTGAATCATCCCATGAACTCTCCTTCCTGTGTTTCTGCATCCCATTCACCTTCTCCATCAGTGTCACCAGAATCTTATGGTTCAACATCTCATAGTCCCTGCAAATGTTGCAGAACTTAGTTAATGTCTGGTGAATTGAAGCATGTACTCCATCTCAACTAAAAGCCTAAGCTGATAGTTGGCATGGGGGTTGGCTCTGATACCGAATTGAAGCATATGCTTTATGTAGTTGGATTGCACATTTATGTTTATATATCATATCTGTACCTGTATGTCCAGATGGCATACAGAAGCTGGATTGATGCAATGGCCACTGAGACTGATCTCACCATGCTTATCATCCATGACTGCTGCTCCATTTCATCTGCCCCGTATCGAATTATGCAGAACTCGATCAAGAATGTTGCACACAGCCCTGAAAAATCGAAAAAACAGGTTTAGCCCCGGCCCCTGAGCATGGTTCTTGAAATCTGTAGCAAAGTCTTGTCTGTGTTGAGCATATAATATATATAAACATAAATGTGCAATCCAACTATCAATTTAGACTGTTAGTTGAGATGGACATAAATGTACCTATATAAAGCCGAGGCCTAACGTTATAAGTCTGTTTTGTGCTGGTGAACATGTAGAGCAGAAGGATTGAGAGTGAGTAAACCAGGAAAGCTTTCATCAGCCTTGATTCGAGCAGGATAGCGTTGTGCAAAGCGAAGAGTTTGTCTATGGCTACAAACATGCTTGCCTGTTTGGACTCGAATGCTTCCTACAACACAATGTTTCAGTAAACGAACTGCTAATGTAACTGCAAGAATATTACTAACCTGAGCTTCTAAGATTGTTTTTGAGTTCTCGACGAGGTGATCATGCGCTTGTTGAAGCTGTTCTTGCCTCCTAAGAAGTTCCTCTTGCTGTTTCGTTCCAGTTTCTGCCAGTTGTTGCAGAGTTCCTCTGCAAAAGTAACCACATAAAACAGCTATGGAAACCAAAGAATTGAAGGATGTGCTCCGTCTCAACTAAAAGCTGATAGTTGGACTGCACATTTATATTTATATACTATATGCTCAGCACACCCCTTCACGTGACTGCACATTAAGCTCTGTCAAGTCTAAGCTGATAGTTGGACTCCCCATTTATATTTATATATTATATGCTCAACACGCCCCTTCACGTGTCTGCATGAGCTCTGTCTCAAGTCTAAGCTGATAGTTGGACTACACATTTATGTTTATATACTATATGCTCAACACGCCTCTATGACCTTTTGCATGATGTTGGCTCTGATACTAAATTGAAGGATGTGCTCCGCTTAACTAAAATCCTAAGCTGATAGTTGGACTGTATATTTATGTGTATGCTCTACTTGAAAAGCTTAACTGACCAAAAGATTTGAGCTTTTCTCCATATGTTTTACCTGCTTTCTTCGAGAGCTTGAGACTGGAATTTGGTGAGAACATGAAGGCCTTCAAGTGCAACAGACTGACTATCCAACAGTTCTTTCTGTTTATCCAAAGAAACCCCAGCAATGTTCCCTATATCATCAGCTTTACTCTGAAGCGTTCTCATTTTCGAATACATTTCCTCCCCGACTCTACCAATCTCCTTCTCGATCTCCTCAGCCTCACTCCTCAACTCGTTGATCTCTCTGTCAAGATTACTGTAAGAAGCCTGCACAATCTCCATTCCTTCAACTAGTTTCCCCTTCATTCTCGCCTGCTCGTCTGTTAGCTCCTTCTGAGAGGCCTCGATCGCCCTGGACTGCTGTTGTATTGCCTTTGAATGTTCCAGCACAAGGCCGACGTGATCTTCCACGTTCTTGGAAGCCTTTTCTAAGTTTTGGGTTCGGAGATCAACCATGGATAAAGAATCATGGATTTCTTTCGAGTTCTGGAGCAGAATCTCCCCTCGCTCTTCTATGTTCTCTATCTTTTCCTCTGCATTCTCTGCAGTTCTCTTCAGTTCATTCACCAATCTCTCTGTCTGATATTTAAATGCATCCATCCTGCAATATATGTATGCATCATAATTGAACTGAAACAGACAAATAAAATGCCAGAAGACAAGAACTTACTGGAGTTGATGGCAAATGGAATTGGTTTCGAGAAAGAACTCGAGGTAGACTTTCTGAGCGAGATCATCCAAGGTCTTGAGGCAATGATTCATGGCGGATTTGGGGTGACAGAAAGGGAAAGAAGGCCTGCCGGAGTGCTTCTGAAAGCAATCGCTGAGATGCCAAGCAAGCCTAGACCTTAACTCTTCATTATGAAGGGCCTTTGAACACTCTGCAAATACAGACTGATAAGCCATCTGCCAACAAGAATCAGCGCCCATCAACATCTTCTGCCTCGCGTTTTCCACCAGTTTGATTCCTTTTGCAATGTTGAAAGGCTCCATGGAGAATCCTGAGCCCACAACCTTGGAGCCTGCTTGGTTTCCCTCGGGGAAATTGCTCGAAAAACGCTGTTTTTCTTCCCCGTCTTTCTTGCCTGAACCGAAGAACCAGCCTCCCCATGACAGGCAACTTTGTGACAGCAACATCAGACACCAAAGCAACAGAATCTGCTTATGATTTTGGCCCATCCCTACCAGTAAAACAATTATCACAAGTTCATAAACTGTAGAAAAACTTGAAGGGAATGTAATGCGTGCCAAAGGGTTCTTTAAAAACACATGATTTTGAGAAGGTTGAAGTGAAGATGATCAAAAGAGAAGAAAGGGAGGCTCCAGTACCTTTGTCTTCTTTCTTCTACAGTGGGAAAGAATATAATTAAATACATAATACCATATTCGATTGTTTACGTTGCATGAACCTGATACGATGGCTACTGCCCTAAATGATCCATTTCTATATTCAATTCACTACGTTAATGTTTTTGGGATTCATATGAAAGTGCAGCAAATATCCAAAAGAGATTAAATAAGAATAAATAAATGCACCGAATCAAAAATGAAGATGAAAAGAGTAAACACACACTCTCTCTCTCTACTTATACTGCGTTTAACGTAATTTCACTAATTTGGCATTGTTTCGGTATTCGTTGTTTATTTTGGAATATAGAATATATTTATCTTTTTGAAATGAATATGAACAGTATATTTAATATCACAGATCTCCCATCTTCATTTTCCCAAGAAAGCAAAAAAGACATTGGAAATAAAGGACTTAGAGGGGCAAGGAATTTTTGGGGAAATGAGTTCGAGGGCCAGTTAAAGGCACAATCGCATATCCCAAACACGTTTTTCCAAGACTTGTCGAGTTTAAAAAGTTGCCTATTTTTGTCCGCCCATTTCAGTCAAAAACCTGAAGGAAGAATATAGGCCAAAACAAACAATTGTACCAATCTATACATGCCTTGTCAAAATCATCTGTATTTCCTAACTTACAATTGAAACAAAGCCAGTTTTTTTTTTCCTAGATAGATTGTAACTTGTATTCTGAACATAATGTTTAAAAAAAAAAAAAAAAAAAGAATTATGCGACTGCCCAACTGTTCCAATTCAATTTTCCCGCCTCTTTACACAAAATTGTACATGTCGGGTACTTGTTGTCCAGCCAACGCAGATGCAGCTCAAGGTTTCGCATAATCTCTCTAGTTGTAGATTCTAACAGGCTTCTCAAATATGTGTCGGTTCTGCAGTTTAAAGAGCTTTGTCAGTAATGCCACATGGACAGATTGCAAGATCATGGCAAGAAGTTAATTTGTCAATATCGGCTCTTTTCTTCAAATTATCCTTTCGATTAGCTAACTAAAATGAGAACCTCTAGATTCCCAAATGGCTTGGAGGTTTCATATCAAAGATGTACTTATATACAATGTTCTACCAAGTAGGAGGTCATTCCAACTTGAGCAATCAAAGTCTCTATAACTCGAGGGATCATTTCACAAGCCCATATTTCTATACAAGTATACAACAAGTTCATACCTGGTTGGCGGCATATGATCTTTTAGGTGTATTGTCAGTATGCTCTAATCCAAGGTATTGTTCCCAAGCACCATAAACATCTCTTCTCTGAACAAAGATTTTTAAAAAATAATAAATAAATTATGGATAATTCCCAAAGGTGATTATGATAACTATACATGAAAAGGAGAGGAATAAGAGAGGGATTTACCTGAAAACGGTTAGCCACAACATCATTGTCCTGTAGATACTCAGGCCGACCCAAGGACAAAAATGCAAACTTCCACTGATTACAAGTAGTTGCACGTCAAAAAGCGTATAGTAAAAGAAATACAAAACTTAAAAGAAGGATTTTTTAACTAACAAGTAAAGAATGTCAATGAGCTTAATTATGCCCATTGCCATGCTGCTATAGATATATGATGAATTAAAAAGTACCTTTGAAAACTCCTCATCGGGAACTTGTAATTTCTTCTGTATGCGTGCTTTAACATCAGCTAATGTCTCCCTCTCATGAATAACAAGGAAAAAGGGTTCACCAAAATTCTGAACATGCTTTAATCCAGAATACAAGATTTAACAGTCAGTTGAACTTTCACTTCATGAGAACGAAAAAACAAGTTCGCAACAACTGACTTGATAACCAAAAATTAGTGTTTTTGAAAATTTTCTATGTACTTACAGCTTGATTCTGAGCTGCGTCCTTCATAAAATGATAAACATGAATCAAACGATCCTGAGGACCAAGATTTTTCTCCTCTTCAGGAATCTGCAAAAAAAAAAAAAGAATTCAAAAATAACAGAACCACCCACAATAAGCAACCGCCACTTTGATTATCTACAGCTTCAATGGCAGTATGAAGCACTGATCTCCAGTACAAAACTCCAGCAGGAAAACAAATCATTCATCAGCATTTCTTTTTACTCTTTCTCTTCTGAATTCCAGTTTATAAACTATCATTCCTTCCCTAGATACATACACTCCCTCTGTCCCAGACAATAAAACAAATATAATATGATGGAAATACCACCATTAAATGTTGGCCAAGTGGCCAACAGTTTACTACTGGAAATTTGGAATCACATAGGGTGTGTTTGGTTCGCACATGGGAATCGGAATTGAAATGGGAATCAAATACTTGGTAATGATAATAGGTTTTCGTGAAAGTATTTTGCATGTTTGGCAGTAGGGTGGAATTGGAATGATTACCAATATTGATGTTTGGTTTTGTATGACCCTATAATCAGAATAAATGTTTTAAAAATACAAAAGTAAAAAATCAAGGTAATTGATCCTAATATAATGACACCCAAAGCATCAATATGAACAAAAAATCTAAAAGTACTAATCCAAACTTAAAAATTAGATTACCAATAAGATGGAATGATACCCCTTTTTAATTAGGGAATGTGATTTTTAATTGAAGGGGCCCGTAGACCGTAGTTGTGTTTTAAAAAGTTGTCAACCAAACAGTAACTATGATTTTGATTCTCATTCCTAGTGTGTAAACCCATGAACCAAACACACCCATAGTTTTTTCAAATCTCAATTTCACAGAAAGGAATAAGAGAAGGCACCATACTACTTGAAAGAAGCAAGCCAGACACTATAGAATACCTCCTCGGCACGTAATGTCCAATACTGATCGTTTATGTTTTCAATCCTTTCTTGGGGAGGGAAAATCTGCATAAACATATAGGTACAAATTGGTTAATTACCCTGTTGCTTTACAAACCACAAACTTTCTAAAGATGATAGCTCGATTGCTTCAGTTTGCTTAACATTTTTACTACTTTATTAAACAAGTCAAATAATAATAATAATAATAATAATAATAATAATAATATAATAATAATAATAGTAATAATAATAATAATAAAGTTCATGAAGCAACTCATAAATTTCTCTCAGAAGTTTTCAAAACCATACAAAGAATACAGACAATCCATGTTAGTAGTGTTTTAACTTCATTGTGTCTCACTCATATAATCAGTGTTCAAAAAGGGAGTGTTTAGCAAGAAAAAAACTTGTTTGGTCATGAATAACTTTGCATCCAAATAAGCAAAGCCCAAGAAAGATTAACCTGACACTTTTTTTGGTGGGGTTGGAATCACCACACCTTCACAAAATAGAAAAAAGATTCCAGTACCTTATAAATCTTATGGTAGAAAACCTCCAGCAATCTTAGTTCAGCATCTTGATGAGACAACTCCACCTGTTCCATATCAAAATAACCAATCAGCAGATTTCATTCAAGAGATGTTTGGAAACCTAATTATGTGAAAACCCAGAGATTGCAGCAAGCATATTGAATACAAGTTTTCCCATCAAATCAAGTGGGGTTTCGGTCCAAGAGAGGATGATGCTTGGATTTTTTCATTTGATTATAATTTCCATTTTCAATATGCTCCTCCCTCCCTCCCTCCCTCTTTTCGTTTTCTTCAAATTGATGGAAGGGGGTTTGAAAGATACCAACATCAGCAGTGAAATCACAAAAGTTCAATATCACCTACCTTTGTTTTGAGGTCATTGAGGACATCTCCCACTGTACTTTGTTTTGGCAACCTAATAGTATGAATAGTCACCTAAAATTTTAAGGCAGAAGTAAATCAAAATAGGGGGAAAAAAAAAAAAAAAAAAAACAACAACAACAACACGTGAGCAAAACATGAAAACAGAACAAAACTTCTAGAACTCACTTCATCCTTGGCCGCACTATAAAAAGCAACTTTAAGAGTTTTCAGGCATTGCAGTTCTGGTAAAGGTATATCCAAGACTTCATAATACAAAATATCAGAAGTCTGTTCAAACATAAGAATGATATTAGAAACAGTCAAGCAGATGGGCAAGTTTATTATTATCAAGGAAAAGTGGAGCAGTGACGGGCACTTCCCACTAAACTACCTGATTATAGTGAATGAGCATATCAGTAAGACGCTCCACTCCCCGGTACTTTATTGGTTGGGGCTTTGGTTGCTGGGAATAGCAGTTATGAGATGTAAGCCTAATTTTTGATGGATCATCCAAGCCAAGATGGCGAGCTACACTTTCAACCACTTCATCATAGTTATTCTGCTTTGACCTAGATGTTTGCTCATCATCAATTGAAAAACAATAGGTAAAAAGAAGTTGACTAAATTTGTGAAATCAAACAACGAGATAAAACACTAAATACATACAGTTCAAGACTGAACTCATCCTCCTTAGGTTTCTCCAAAGAACGGAAGCGAACAACCTGAGAACCATAATGTTTTCATAAGTAAACCATAAAAAAAAAAAAAAAAATGAGAACTATTAAATCCAAAACTCAGTATACTTGAAAAGACATGGCTTTTTGCAAACACAAGGAAAGCAAGCATGAAAGAAGGCCAAAGAATTATGTGTTTGCACTACAAACTATTATTAGACATGGAGATAAACAAGTTCCAATCCACTCTCCAATGGATAACATCCAATTATGTTTCACCCTTATGTTGGGAAAAAGAAAACAATATTGATAATTTGGCTTTTTAGTTTTGTAGGAGTGCAATCGAAGAAGGTAAAGAACTACAAGTTATTACCAGTATCATTAATCACCCTAAACTGAAACAGGAAATTAAGAAACAAACAAACCAACCATATATTTTGCACAATTTATGATCTACTGAATAAATTGCCTATCAAATCATTCATTCAC